ATCTCATCCACTTCCTGCTCATGTGTCGTGGTGACGAGTGTCGGTGCCCTTGTCGACTCCTTCCGCGCTCCATCTTCCTTGTCTTCATGATATGCCTTCAATTGACTCACATGGAAGACGAGGTGAATCTCCAAGTGCGATGGCAGCTCAACTTTGTATGCCACCGTGCCAATCCGCTTCAAGATCGGATATGGCCCTTCATATCGTCGCAGCAGCCCCTTGAGCACATTTTTGAGGTGCTTGAATCGATGAGGGAAGAACTTCACCATCACCAAGTCTCCCTCCTCGAATTCCAAGTGACGCCGCTTCTTATCCGCCCACTTCTTCATCTTCTTCGTTGCTCGAGCGAGATAAGACTTCGCCAACTCCATCTTCTCGTGCCATCCTCGTGCAAACTTGTAGGCAGATGGGCTATTGCCCTTGTATCCCGTCGTCACCGTATTAGGTGTCAACGGCTGCTGACCAGTCGCCAACTCGAACGGGCTCATGCTCGTGGCTTCACTTCGGTGTAAGTTGTAGGAGAATTGGGCTACATCCAATAGCTTCACCCAATCCTTCTGGTTGGCACTCACATAATGCCGCAAGTAGACCTCCACCAAAGCATTGACCCGCTCGGTTTGCCCATCCGTTTGAGGATGAAAGCTCGTGGAGAAGTTCAGATCGGAGCCCATCATCTTGAACAACTCCCTCCAAAATTTGTCAGTGAAGCGGCCATCTCTATCGCTGACGATGCTAACCGGGATGCCCCAATACTTCACAACATGCTTGAAAAACAAGCGGGCTGCATCCTCGGCCGTCATGTCTTTAGGCCCCGCGATGAAGACGCCATACTTCGAAAATCTGTCGACGACGACCATGATGGAACCACACCCTTCGACTTTGGGAAGGCCGATGATGAAATCCATGCTAACGCTTTCCCAAGGCCGTTGTGGAGTGGGTAATGGCTCCAAAAAGCCCGCCGGACTCCGCTGCTCCATCTTGTCTTGCTGGCAAACAAGACAAGTCTTGACGTAGAGTTCCACGTCGTCCTTCATACGAGGCCAATAGTAAGCCTCCTCGATGAGAGCTTGTGTGCGCTCAATGCCGGGATGACCAGCCCACTTGGAGTTGTGACACTCCTTCATGATCTCCCTTCGTAGGTTGTCCCACCGCGGCACGAACACTCGCTCCCCCTTAGTCACGATGAGTCCGCCTTTCATCCAAAACCGCCGAGTCTTCCCTTGCTTGATGTACTCGACCACGGTTTTGGCGAAGGGGTCGTGCCCAAGGCCTTCTTCGATCCTCTCCTTCAAGGGGAATTGCGGCTGGCTAATGGCGGCAAGTGCGCTCTTTCGGCTAAGAGCGTCGGCAACAAAGTTGGCTTTCCCCGGCTTGTACTCCAGCACAAAGTCGAACTCCGCGAGGAAGTCTTGCCACCTTGCTTGCTTGGGCGTGAGCTTCTTCTGTGTGAGGAAGTAACTCGTCGCCACATTGTCCGTCTTTACAACGAACTTCGACCCAAGCAAGTAATGCCTCCACGTTCTCAAACAATGGACCACCGCCGTCATCTCCTTCTCTTGCACCGCATATCTCCTCTCGGCCTCATTGAGCTTGCGGCTCTCAAAAGAAATTGGGTGCCCTTCTTGCATCAACACCCCACCGATTGCAAAATCGGAAGCATCTGTTTGCACTTCGTACGCCTTGGTTGGATCGGGAAGTGCTAGCACCGGCTCCTTCGTCACCGCATCCTTCAAGGCTTCAAATGCTTCGCGGCACCGATCCGACCATTCCCAAGCCTTGTTCTTCTTTAGAAGATCCGTCAAGGGTGCTGCAAGAGCGGAGTATCCCTTGATGAATCTCCTATAATAGTTGGCCAGGCCGAGGAATGATCGCAACTCGGTGACCCTCGTCGGTGGCTCCCATCCTTGTATCGCCTCCACCTTGGCCTCGTCCATCTTTAGCTTGCCTCCGCCGATGATGTGGCCGAGGAAAGGAACCTCCACTGCTGCAAACGTGCACTTCTCCTTCTTGACATAGAGCTCATTGTCTCGAAGAACTTGAAACACTTGTCGCAAGTGCTCGGCATGCTCATCGAGTGTGTTGGTGTACACCACGATGTCATCCAAATACACCACCACGAACCGATCCAAGAACGGCTCGAAAACTTGGTTCATCAAGGTGCAAAAAGTAGCAGGAGCGTTGGTTAGTCCAAAAGGCATAACAAGGAACTCGTATGAGCCATACCTCGTGACGCAAGCGGTCTTTGCCTCGTCCCCCTCGGCGATCCTCACTTGGTAATACCCCGAGCGAAGATCAAGCTTCGTGAACCACTATGCTTCTCCGAGTTGATCAAACAAGTCGCCAATATTGGGGATGGGCCACTTGTTCTTCACCGTGAGCTTGTTAATAGCTCGATAATCGATGCACATCCGCAACGAACCATCCTTCTTCTTCTGGAACAAAACCGGTGCTCCATAGGGTGATTTCGAGGATTGGATGAAGCCAGCATCCAACAACTCCTTGAGTTGCCTCCTCAATTCCTCCAACTCGGGAGGAGCCATGCGATAAGGTGCTCGTGATGGTGGCGTCGCCCCTTGCTCAAGCTCGATCTTGTGATCGACTTCTCTTCTTGGCGGCAGCTTCTTTGGCAACTCCTTTGGCATCACGTCCACAAACTCCTCCAACACGCCCTCGATGAGAGGTGTTGGCGCCACCGAACCTCCTTCTTCCTTCGCACGCAAAGTGACAAGGAACATGGGTTCATTCCTCTTCATTCCCTTCACCAACTGCATGGCCGATAGTGCTCTCTTCGGCCCTTCTTCGCGCAACATCTTCACCGCGCAAAACTTGTCTCCCTTGTCAAGGCAAAGAGTGTTGGAACTCATTGCCATCACCGCGCCCTCCTTCTCCATGAAATTGACGCCAAGAATGACCGGATGATCATCCATGGTGATGACGCTGAAGTCGGCAACACCTTCCCATCCTTCGATCTTCAATGGCACGTTCTTAGCAACGCCATGGATGGGTATTGCCTCCGAGTTGACGGTCTTGAGCGATCCTTGCCTCTTCTCGTAAGCGATCCCCAAGCGCTCCGCCTCCTCCACTCGAAGGAAGTTGCCGGTCGCACCGGTGTCAACCAATGCTTTTGACTCGCCTCCCTCGAATTGGGTGATTACAAAGAATCTCCCCTTGCTAACTTCGTTAGCGCCGGACTTCGCCGCGCCTAGTCTCCGCATGGAGCCTATCTTCCCTTCATCTTCCCTAGCATTCTCCTTGGTCTCCCCTTCTTGTTTCTCCAAGGCTTCCAGCTTGCTCTTCTTTGGGCAATCTCGCACCTTATGTGGACCGTTGCAAAGGAAACAAGACATGGGTTTGTCAAAGTTACCAGATCTTGCTCCCTTGCTTGAGCCTCCATGTTGGTACGAGCCTTTCCCCTCTTTGGAGTGTTGCCGATGATCTCCTCCCTTGCTCTTCGAGTTCTTCGACTCGTTCGGCCGCTCACTCTTCTTGTATTCCGTGAGAGCCTCTGCCGTTGCCAAGGCAGTAGCAAGATCTTGCACTCCACGCCTCTCGAGCTCCAACTTAGCCCAAGGTTGCAATCCGAAAAGGAAGTTAAACAAAGCCTCCTTATCCGGCAGATCGGGGATCTCGAGTAGTAATTCCGAGAACTCCTTGACATAGTCACGAATTCCGCCGGTGTGGGTGAGTCGTCGAAGCTTTGCACGAGCCTCCATTTCGACATTCTCCGGGTAGAATTGTCTCTTGATTTCCCGACGGAAATCCTCCCATGTGTCCATCGCACATGTGCCTCTCTCTATATCACCTTGCTTCCTTCTCCACCAAACCATGGCCGTGTCGACCAAGTAAAGGGAGGCAGTACGCACCATGACTTCATCATCATTGATGCCCGAAGCCTTGAAATACTGTTCTAGGCTCCAGAGGAAATTCTCTAATTCCCTCGCATTCCTCGACCCACCGAAGTTCTTTGGCCTTGGAACATCTACTCGTGGTGTAGATTGAGTCGTGGCAGGCCCATTAGCCACGGCTCTTTTGACGAGATTGAGCTCTCCTCGAAGCTCGTCAAATTCTTCCTTTGCTTCGTCTAGCTGACCTCGAACTGTCTCCCTCAAGGAGTCGATGGCGTTGGTGATGATGGTCACAAACTCGTCTCTGAATGCTTCTAACCCCACCTCCAAGCCTGATATTCGAGTGCCCTTGCCTAGCATGTCGTCCTTCGAAGTCTGCACCTCTCCGCTGACTTGATCGAATTTCGACTCCATGTCCTCGAACAAGGATGTATGCTTGGCAATCTTCGTCTCCGCTCTCTTGAGCCTCTCCTCGATCGCCACCAAAGGCTCTCGAGTTGATCTATCACGATTCTTCTTAGCATTTGGATCCTTCTTCTCCTCACGACCGCGATGTTCCTCATTGTTGAGAACTTCGCTTCCGGATCCAGCCATCTCCTCGAGGTTCTTTCTCACTTGATGAGCTACGACCTTGGCTCTGATACCACTTGTCACGGACCAACTCTTGGCCGTGCGGCACTTAGCTCTCAAGTCTCGTTAGAGCGCTAAGTCAGCCTTGCTCGTATTCACTCAAACTCACAAGTGTTAGAGAAAACTCTATAGATAGAAATCTCTCAATTTCTGGATGAATGAAAAGTGGTGGAGAGGGCTGCTTATATAGGCATCCTCTCCACTAAGTACAATGTACATGGCCGTCATAAATGAACGAACCTAGATAGTCCCCCCATACATGAACTAGCCCCATACATGAATGTAATAAATGAGATGCATGAATAAAGATAGAAAAGGGGGATGCATGTACATTGGTGCATGAATCGGAAGATGCATGCACGTACTTGCATCGTTCTAGAATGCTCTAGAATCTTCCGCGTAACAATACCCAGCGGGTTGGATTGGGTTTGAATTTGTCAAAACCAATAAATTTTTCCCCAACTATTTTTTTTACGGATAAACCCACGAGTTTGGGTTTGACTCAACCCGACTCATTGCCATCTCTAGACCAAACTGCAATATTCAAAGGGCGGAGATGTAAGGATCAACCAGCAATCATTCACACTAAAGATGCCAACATTTTATTGATCAATATACAGGGTTGGATATGGGGACATTAAACATCAAGCAAATGTTTAAATGTTAACTTGTTTCAATGCACACACTTATTGTAGTTGATCCAATACCCAATTGCTGAGAATAATTCATCTCCAACAATATAGGACAGTTCATTTGCAGTACTTCTTGAACCAAACCCCGATGTTTATGAAGCTCTCGTAGTCAGTTCGCGGTCTGCATATAAAATGAAAGAGAGAGTTTCAGACTGTGTTGTACATGATGGCAAACAATGGCATACTGAAGGCATCCAAGAAGAAGGGTACAGGTTAATTACATCTCAAGTCCATGAACATCGTTAGGAAAGATCATGATTTTCGTTTCAACTCCTTTCTCCTTCAACGAGCGAGCATACTGCAGGCATTTAGCAACAACACCATTCACATCAGCAGCAGGTTGCAGTATTTAACAAAGTTTTATGCAAGCATTCTACTTTAATTTTTGGAATCTCCACTCATGTGAGAGAATAGAAATAAATAATGAGGGTTGGCAGAATGTCTTACTTGTATGCCGTTGGACTGTGGAACTCGGAGATCCTGAGCACCAATGAGAAAGATTGTTGGCGTTTTGACCTGCAAAATCATCACAAAAGTTGGTTGATTTCTTAATTTCCTGCAAGTTCATCCTTGCATAGGAAAAGACTGTTGCTTTTATTTTGTCTTGGTGGCATTGTTACTTTAGAGATGTGTGAAATGGGAGATTTGCTGTGAAAGATGGCTAGGTCAGCAGCCGAAGCTGCTTCTGTAAACTTATCCTTCCCCTCACTTCCATAGACCTCAAAGTAGCACCAATCAGGGATATCTGTTGTCCCCACCATTGATGCAAGGTTACAGACAGGATTTCTTGCAGCTGCTGCAGCAAACCTCTCTGGCGCCTGCAGGAACTATTTCAGTTAGATATATCTCATTCATGCGGCTCTTTGGAAGTTGGAGAGCTTAAGTCATCTCACCTGGCCAATGAGGTGAGTTGTGAGAAAGCCCCCATGAGACCCACCAATCACAGCTATTCGATTCGGGCTAGCAAATCCCTTGTCAATAGCATGATCTATAGCCGCAAGCACATCATTCACATCCTGTGCATTGTGCCACAAAAAAGGTTATTTATTTGAAGGTCTAGATTGCAGGATAGCAAGCGTGATTTTATTGCCAACTGGAATTTTTTTAAACCTATACTGCGGTATAAGCATCAGGCACCTGTGTTCCAATTTTTCCTGGAAGAGAATGCAATGCTTCCTCACCAAAACCCAATGAACCTCTGCAAATTAAATTAAGGTCAGAAAAGTTTTGAAGTAAAACTAAGTACAGCCAAATACCATACAAGCTCACATTTGCTGTTAGCCTAGAGGCTCTGTGAATCAATAAGAATCAACGGAATCTAATCAAGAACTTCTCGGCTAACAGAAAATGGTATGGCATATAAGTAAACACCGATCATTAAGTTAAAACTGAAGGACCTTGGAACTTCTCACTAACCTGTAATTTACAATCAACAAACTGTATCCTAGTGAAGCCAGGAAAGCAATATTCTTTGAAAAACTTGAAAGGGACACAGCATGTGGGCCTCCGTGAAGGAAAACAATCAGTGGATCTAATTGACCATATTTCTTGGAAGTTCTTGAGACCTGTATAGCTTCATACGGTTTACTTGCTCCTGAAATGAACGGAGAGCATTCAATTGTCAGCAAGCCTAACTGATATAGTGATATGGATGGCAAGAGTTAGTCTTCTCCTAGTTCACTTTTCTCTGTACACTACAAGTCAGGCAGGAATCCAAAAATAGAGTTTTCAGTTACTTGAAGGCATATCTCCAATTTGTTCCAGCAGAAGTTTATAGGGTGAATGATAGACTTGGTTAGAAATCAAGCTTATATTGGCTGGAGTACCTTTTGTCAGGTTAGCAGACACATCCTTGACTGGGATCTTCAGAATGTTGAACTCACGAGAAGAGAGCAGTGATTTAACCTGCAGTGCATATAGGTTCAACCTCAAGACATAATAAATAGATCATAGAGAACTCAGCATACATGCAACTTATTTATGGAGAAGCTATTGAGTGCACCCTTGCAGAGCATTTAATCATGGGACTTCGAACGCTTGACCAATTCCAAGCATCATCTTGGACTTCTTTATAACCATACTTGATTTCAGGAAGATCTATGGGGCTGCTTGAGACTTAAGAAAAATAGAAAAGGAATTATGTTAGTAGTTTATGTCGAATTCCCTCGACACAAACAGGGAATGTTAATACTAAGAAATTGAGTGTACCACAGTACCAGCAATTATGTTGTCATCATTCAGTGTAAGAGCACGCCAAGCAGCATTGGAGTCAGAAGGACTGATTCTCGTCAGATCTCCACTGATATTTGGCAATGAAAACAATGATTAATGACAGAAAAGAGCACAAAGATCTATACATATATCAGACAAGAACAGTATATTTTGTAATCACCTTGAAACATTCACAGACAGTATAACCTCACTGCTGCCCCACACAGAGTTCAACACTATAGTGGTTCCATCAGAAAGCCAAGGTTTTCGAAGAAAGCTGCCATTGTAAATCCCTGGAAAGCCACCGTCCTCTGGACACTGCACCACTGAGATCTGCAAGAATCATGTTGAACTAAGATACCCACCAAACGATTCCCTTTAACCAGAACTTCTGATTTGCACGACTCTGTGCCAAATACCCACACCAAACTATTACCATTTCAACTATTTTTGCAGATGAGAGTGCCTGTAAATTAGCAGGCCAATCTATTCGATGAAGTGATTCAGTTGCTGAATGTGCTCCTGAATCCACAGAATTTCTAGCAGATAAGAAGAGTAGATGCTTTCCATCTGGGCTGGATCAAAAGCACAGGTAAAAGAAATGTAAGTCCATGGAATCAGCAGCAACTCTTGTCATACCTCTATCTGACATATCTACTTCCTTAAAGAGATAAGTAAGTGATTTGAATACCTGAAGACAGGGAAGAAGGCACTACTGATGCCTTGAGTTACATTAAGCACCAATAAATCTTCCTCTGAAATCTCTCTTGAGCATCACATCACATGTCAGTCAGACAACTCAGTTTTCAGAACGACAAGAGCTAAATGTGATAAATTACCAAAACAAGGTACCCACTTCTGTTCTCTTTTAGCATCTGATCCAAAAAAAGGTGCTCTTGCAGCATATAAGCCACAAGGCCTATTATAGCAGTACTTTATGCCAAGTTTCCTGGTTTCCGATGACCACCCAACAAAGATCAAATATTGAGGTGAGGTTTCAGTTGAAGGAGCCCAAACAACTTGGCCAGCGCTTAAATGCTTTGATATTCCTTTGACAGGCTGAACTTCTCCACTGGACAAAATTGGAAGTACTTTAGTTACCAAAATGAATTTACTGAAGCACTCCCTCCAAACTCACTCTCAAACAAAAAAGAAGACCTGTTAATGTCAATAATGAAGATCACAGGTCGCCTTTTCCCAGCGTATGTCTCTCCCCATTCTTCCTCCCATTCCCCTACGCCTTTCCAGCTACCACAATCCTTTTCTTCAGAACCACATTTCTTATACCCTTGACCATCAAATGTCGGCTTGGCAGGAGTTGGCTCTTCAGCGACATATGCAATGTGAGTTTCATCTGAATTCCATGAGATCCCCTCGAACCCGAAACAGTAACAAAGCTTTCAGCGTCCAAACACATATTTATGAAAGAACAAACTCAGTAAAGTTAACACATTGTCCTACCAGCCATCAGTGTACACTGATCCATGAACAGACTGTGGAATCTGGAACTCCTTTTCCAAGTGAGACTGACTCCAGATTTCAAACTGAACAGGTGACTCGCTTTCTGGGTTCCTGACCACTAGAAGCTTGGAACCTGAAGGGGATGGAAGCATTGTAGCTACACCAGTCATCTCAACAGGAAAAGGTGCCCACTGAAAGCACACTGAACTGTTACTTCCCTTGGAAACATTAGCAGACAGAATGGATTTCCTCCTTTGATTTGCCAGAAGATTCGCTTGGCTAATTGCAAACATTGCGTGAGACCCAATTCCTGCATCAAAACATCTCACGTCAATTGGCGAAAAACAAAAAAGAAAATCATTAGACGGCAAACCAATCCTGAAATGGGTAGTCAAAGAAAGAGTCGTCCAACCATTCTCAGACTTGAAAGTCCACGCCTTGTCAATGCTCGAGATGCTAGCGAACTCTCCGAGCAACTTGGACTGCGATTCGTACTCTTCCTCCATTGTTGGGTCTAATCCCAGCGGCAGCGTCTTGGCTGGAGCAGCTTTGGAACCCTCCATTCTCGCGGCAGCCGAAACTCTTCCACTACACGGAGGCAAGCAGAGGAACAATCAAAACAAAGCAATGCGATCATTTCAATTTGCCACCCGAAAAACCCTCGTCAGAATTGGCACCGGAAGAAAAAGAAGCGGGTAACGATGAAGAATAGCAGAATTTTCAGGGCAATCAGAACGAGAGAAAGAAACGGGGAATGGCGAAGAGAAGAGCGGAAAACTTACATGGGTGCTGAAGAAGGTGCGAGCTTGATGGGAGTGGGGAGTAGTGAAGAGTGAGCAGTTGGGAAGGAAGGTATTAGGATAGTGGGAAGGGGGAGTCGACGCACAAATTCTCGGGGGCGATTGGCAGCGACGATGCTCTTCTTGGCTGCCAATCCCATTCAGGATCAGCAATCTGTCCCCTTTTTTTAGTGGCGTCCTTACTATATGCTGATTGCTGATGCTGAGTGTGGTACCTTTTCGTTTTGAGGAACATATTCCATTCTCTTATCCAGGATCCATATAAGTGGATGTGGAATGATTATTTTCCCACTAATCATCTACTTCAAGAACACAGAATCGGCTGGAGTAGGCAAGAGAAGCCGCAAATTATTCTCAGCAATACTTGTGTTGGACCTCATAATGAGAATGTATATAAGCCTATTCCGGTCTGGTCCGGTATGGAATGAACTTATAATCATGGAATCGACTCGATTATCAGATTATAGATTATAAGTTCATAACCCTAGCCCATTCCCGGTTCAACTGAAATTGGAATCCGACGTTTTTGTTGTGAAAAAATAAACTGAGGGTTTGGATCTTTCATTCACATTTTTTTCCATCAAGAACGTTTTATAAAACTCTTGGTAGACAGTATGCATGGGATTAGCCGCTTCAATGGGATCTTTTATCCTGGTCGGGGGAAAAATTACCAAACGTTTAGCATTCCCTCAATAACTCCCCCCCGAACACAGCTTACAACTTTCATCGTACTGTGCTCTCCAAAGAGCAACTCTTCTCAAAAGGTGCTGAGTTGGAATCTCATTCTAACTAAGGATTCTTGTGGTTCCGGAGGATCCAGCTACAGGAAAACCAGGAATGGAGAGCTTCCCCCCGCCCCCTTTTTCCGCCCGGTCTTTTGATTATTCGGGCGCGCCAAAAACTTAGAATTCTAATTAGGAAATCACATTGATAGCCTCTACTCGTGCCCTAGCTCGTCTGAGAGCTAGATTTGCCTCAATTATTTGTCTCTTGCCTTCAGCTTTCCTCAAGTTAGCTTCTGCTATTTCAAGAGTTTGCTGAGCTTCTTGTGGATCAATGTCACTACTTTTCTCCGCATCATTTACTAAAACAGTAAGAAGGTTTCAATCTGCCCATTAGGTAGTAGAATATCTGATCCTTCTTGTACGGATCGAGCTTTTTTCAGCAGGATTCTTTTTTTTTTTAACTCGCTTCATTACTTCAGGCAGAACATTTCTTCCCCCGATAGTCTATATCGATACTTTAAAAATTCGAATTCTACGAAAGAAGAAATTACTGGATTTATTTTTCCTAGATGACATAATCATAATCCATCGTTTCTCTATTTCTGTCGAGTCCATATCATACCAATTTTTCTATACTAATAGAACCCACTGAATGATCTAAACTAAACCCTATAATTAATGGGATCAACACCGGCTTCCAATAGCCCGTCTCTGACTGCCGATTGCCAATTCTTGAGCTCCGGCCTAAACACAATAGCTCTTTCAACCCACTGAATGGTTGTAGATTCCATTAGACTATGGTACTTACCATATGGATATTGCTAGCCCAGCTCAAATGCTAATGAATATAATTGATTATAGTAATCAAGTGGAGAGTTAGCAATGAATACATTGGTGTCAAGATAAGTTGAGATAAAGAAAGTATACAAGCCCATTCTCGAGTTGATGTGAAATTTAAGATATTTTATGGACCGTGGTATCTATTGTTTGTTGACCAGTTTCATCAAAGTAAAGTAATTAATGGGAGCTTAACGGGAGGAGAAGAGTAAGAGAAGTCTGTGTCAACACGTGGGTCGAAATCATTATATTTAGATTCAAAGCCTGACGCTATAATCACACGGATATGCATATTTAAGATATCGTACTCGAAATAGTTAGCTACCAAGGAAAAATCTCATGCTAAGTGCTAACTCATGGTTAAGTTGGTTGAAGTTGGTTGAACTTTTAGATGGTAACAGTATTTATATGATCAACATCACCAGAATTGAAAAGAATCTGTTTGAACCTAACTGAGTGTAGGAGTGAGGTTCGAAGGAGAGTTTGGGTCGAGAAGAAACGCGAGAGCCGAGCTAGATCAGTGGAACCAGAATCAGAGAGTTGAGTGAGAAAGAGATTAGAAAGAGAAGTAGTTCCTGTAGAGAGAGAATGGTGAAAAAATGCGATCCCCTCACCCACCGTAGTAAATGCCATATTTATAGGCTTCATGGTGGTGGGTGAGTGGTTGACATAGGGAGAGATACAGTGATGTGACTACTGGGATACAATGATGTGACCACTAGCACACTAAGGCTTTTAGGCCATCCCTCTACCTAGGATGAGTCAGAGATCCACTCATGGCCCTGATGTGACTACCCGCTTGGAAGAGGTGCGCTTCCCTCATCTTCTGGTTCAGCCTACGCTAGTCCTCCCCTAGCGCCTGTCATCTCTTCGCGCCTGGACGTGGTTAGCCATGATGAGGCGGCACACTCGGGGTCCTCGCGCTGCCGTGTTGGGGTCTCATCCAGTTGCGCCCGGTTCCTTGGCGTGGTTAGGCCCGAGTCCTATGCCCAACAATTGCCCCCCAGCAGGGGGTGTTTTGTGAACGCCCCCTGTTTAGGTTTCCTCCGGACTCGGGCCGGTCCGCTTGTAGCTATTGGTTGGCGCCGACGTGCGCGATACTATGAACTGGCGTCGTCTTGCCCTGACGCCATGTGCCATCGCGCTCGTTGCTGGGCTTCATTCGGTCGCCACGCGCAATGCTTGGCGCGCGCTGTTGTGCGTACGGGGTCGTTTTCGTCGTGCGCGGTACGCGCTAATGCGCTCGTTGTTGGTCTTTGTTCGCTGAGTGCGATACTCGCGCGCGATGCGCTCGTGGAGTTGTTTTCTTTTCGCAGCACGACGCATGTTTTCCTCTTCCAGGCGTTATCCTCGCGATAAGCGCTCGCGGTTGATCTTTGTTCGTTGAGCGTGATACTCGCGCGCGATGCCCGTCGATGCGCGCATGGGGTTGTCTTCTTGTTGCGACGCAATGCGTGTCTTTCTTTTCCTCGCGGGTGTGCCATGCCCCCCAGTCGGTGCGCGGCGCTGGTGGCGTCGCCGACTGATGCCTATGATCGTAGGTGTCAACGTGTCACTGTGTGGTTAGGCTATTTGGGCGGGGGTTTTTTGAATTTCGAAAAGATTTGGTGGGATCTGACTGTTACGGATCCCAATGTGGCTTTAACCTTTCGCATTCCGCCGAACGGCCTTGGCCCTTCGCTTTCCCCCGGATCAATTATAAATATGAGATTGTTGAAGGGAGGAGGGCTCACTTGTTTTCTCCGATCATAGCCTCGCTTTTGTTTTCCTAAGATTTCCCTCCTCCTTCACTTCTCTTTCCTCGAGATTTTCTCTCCTCCTTTTACTACCCCAATCCTCTTCTGCTGTTGATCAACTTCGAGTCGATATCATGTCCAACATCAACAACCAGGAGGCCGAGGTCGTACAAGGCGAAGAAGGTAATGTCTCTCCTCTCTCGCATACTTCTTCTGACCATTCCGGTGGTGGGAATGGAGGTTCTGGGGATTGGAACGGTGGATCCGACGGTGGGGGTGGCAGTAGTGGTGGTGGACTTCCGGCGACGCCGACGTTCGATGCTAGGTCGGGCGATGGGGCCGGAAGCTCTTCTGATCGGGGTATAACCGCTTCCGGTAGTGGGGAGGTGGCGCGGCCGGCTCGGGGGACTCTGATTATTCGGCGTAACCAGGGTGGTGGGCCGGTTGCCGGCGACGAAGCGGCCGACGAGGAAATCGCCGACGAGGAAGTCGCCGATGGTGAGGTCGGCGACGATGAAGTCGCCGACGATGAAGACTTCGGCGATGAGACAGAGCAAGGAGACTTTGATGTGCAATTCGCGCCGCGAGCAGTCGAGCGCGTTACCGAAGCCATGGCCCGCTTGGGGCCGCAGGGTGTTGGCTCTACATACCGCGTGATCGAATGGGCGGAGATGTGGGGTGACCAGCCGGCGCCGTCTGACAATCTCAAGCGCGGACCCGAGCACTCCTCGACGTATGACGTGGATGACGTGGAGGAGTTGGTTCGCGGACTGGGTTTGCCCCCCAGTTGGGAGTACGCCGCTCCCTCGGTGCGCAGTATGGTGGGTAACTGCCCCCCTGGGTGGTTCGGTGTGTATGCCGAATACTGGGTTATGGGGTTCAAGTTCCCCATCGACCCGCTGTTATGCGCCATATACGACCGCCTCAAATGCTCCATCGGTCGGCTCTCCCCGTCAGTGATCATGCACGCGAGTTGCCTTCGTCTCGCGTGCAAGAGGCTTAACATCGTGCCTACTTACGGCTTATTCCGCAAGATGTACAAAATCAAGGAGCCGACAAAGGTGAGCGACTGTCTCTCCATCCAGCGACGCGACCACCGCCCCGATGGCTTCGTGTACGGCTCGCCCAAGTTGAAGAAGACTTGGTTTGGTCAGTTTTTCTATGTTAAGCCCGCTCCCGGGGAATGGGCGAGTGGGTCGCTGCCGGAGCCCACCACCTGGATGAAGGGCAGTATAGCCGGTTTCGAGTCCGACGTCGGTAAATACGACGGGCTCAACGATGAGTATGAGGCTTGCATGCCTCACCGCATGAATTTATACAAGCGGGGAGTCCGCGAAGCCTGTTTGGAAGAGCTCTTTGGAGATGGTTAGTTATGTTTCCTTCCTTTTTGTATTCTATCTTATTAACCGCTCTCTTACGATTTATTGGCGCAGGTGTTGACTTCTCTTCCCTCGCGAGTATGATGTCGGTGGATGACGTCGCGCCGCGTGCCGACAAGAAAAGGAAGAAGAAGGTCGGCGCGGCGCCAAAACCCTCGAAGCGGAAGGAGGTCGAGCAACCGCAACCGCAGGTTGTAGAGAGGCCCCGCAAGACCCTTCGCATAGCGGAGCCAACCGTCCAAGCGGCGAAGCAACTGCCCGCGACGCCACAATTGTCCGCCGCGCAGCAGCTCTCACTGGCGCTTTCGGAGCCCGAGGCGACGGTGAGCCGGCCCGCTCGTCGAGGGGGGGATGGGGCTGGCAGCTCATCCGGGACATCCGCTACCACTCCTCCCGTCAGCGCTGTACCTCCTTCCGCCGCCGTCCACCAAGTCCGCGACGTGCGGATTCACACCGCCGCGGCGTGCAACTTGGTGTCAGCCAATCATGCGCTTCGGGCGATCGGGCCCATTCTCTCCGTTCCCCCGCGGGTGGAGAAGACGGACCCTCTTCACGACCTGGCGCAGATCCATTTCGCGGTAAGACTCGGTTTAGGTTAAGGTTTATTTTCTTAGCCTCCCCCCTTGTTTTTTGCTTGGCTAAGACTCGTGGCGTTGCAGGGTTTGTCGGCG